GACCTTGTGGTTAGCAGAGCAACAGGTAATCAATCCACTGTGCTACCAGGGTTCTGACTTCCAGAATATTAGCCCAGAAAAAAAGAGGCAGCAGTGTCACGCCTATGGGCAGGACTGGCTCTCAAGATCAAACAGGACTCCTCTGACTGTCAGAAAGGAAGGGGTTGACTGAGACCACCCAAGCATACACAGGGTTCTCAAGCAGTAGGGCCTGGAGCACCAATTATTAACACTGCCCAGGCATCCAGTTGAGCCCCTAATTCAACACATTGAGTCTATGGCCAGGACTAGATATCCTGGGTCATCTGATAATTCTCCCTTTCACTTTTTGGGGAACCCATCGAGCTGTTTCCCACAATGGCATTACCATTTTGCATTCCTATCAGCAATGGACAAGTGTTCCAACTCTACAGCATCCTCACCGGTACTTTTTGGGGCTTTGGTTCTTGATTTTTACAGAAGCTTTCCTTGTGGGTGTGAAGTGGCATCTCATTGGTTATCTCCTTACGATACTTGAGGGCATGCTGTCTCAGATCCAGATATGAAAGAAGATTGTTTTCTTTCTACCTCATCATTCATACACATTTTCAACCTATGTGAACAGAAAATGTAATCATCTTTTTCCAACAAATAGTTGTTCAAGATAAGGAAAGGAAGTGCATAGTTATTCACAGGAGTCCTTTCTTTTTCCCCTGTCGAGTCGTATGCCATGTAAGTTCCAACATATGCCTTTTAAGCTCTTGCTTTGGGTTTGCATGATACAGTCACTCTATCCTACTTTATACAAAACACAGTCCAGATCGTAGTTCAGCATTCAACACTCTAGCCTTGTATTGTACCATCTATACGGGGCTGGCCAAGAGCCATCCTGTCTGTGCTTAGATAAAGTCAGACCGTTATCATAGCTGGCTTGCTTGCACAGTCATGAGAGAAGATCTAGGGCCTACTAGTTATCTATGTCAGCTTGTAAAACCAGGACAATTTGGTCTGTAGAAATTCCATTTTATGGTCTACCCCATGCAAAGCAAATAAACCATTCTTTTCAAAAAATACAATTTTTATTGACATATCTTACACATTCCAATACATCCTTTCACATACAATTCTACTGTTCAATCCCATTGGGTGGGGTTAGCCAATCATCAATACTATCAGCTCCCTTTCCCCCCTTCCTCTCTCCTCTCTCTTCCCATACCCTCAAGGAACCACTACTCCTGTTACTGTCTCTGAGGGGTCCTCTATCTTGATTTCCATGTATTGAGCATATGCAAAGCTAACATGAGGTAAAACACATAAAGCCCTTAAGAGAAAGGGGAGGAAATCTTAAGAGCATATCCAAATATACCAATGAGCATATGCAAAGCTAACATGAGGTAAAACACATAAAGCCCTTAAGAGAAAGGGGAGGAAATCTTAAGAACTAGAGGGTAGTTATGTAGGACATCAGTGCCATACCGCATCCTGGATTACCCTCTGTTCCATGTGTCCCAACTAAACCACTCTTTACTGGCAGTCTGCATTGCAGTCCCTTGTGCTAGAAAGGACCATCTCCTGCATCTCATTGGACCTCAGCTCCTGGTTGAGAGGCAAACAAGAGTGATCCAATTTGCAAACTGCTAAGTCAGACATCAGACACTGAAATTTACTCGCCCAACCCTATACTTCTAGTAATTGTTGACTGATTCAGGGTAGGCATCCCACATCCAACCTGTGATGGGACAATTAGGGAACCTTGTTGGAACTATGATCCTCGGTCAGAAGGAGTCAAGTTGGTATCTCTAGGCGCTTGAACTTCAGGATGTACAGCATGGGAGTTATTGGCAGTGAAAGAGAAAGGTCAAGTGCAGAGAGGAGCCAAGGGTAGCTAGATGTTGGATGGGGAAGGGTGTGGAGTAGAGGCGTGGCCAAATGAGAAGGGAGTCAAGTGCCTCAGAAGCTCATGTTCCTGAGATCCAACCACATTCTGACTTGTGGATTCTATGAGACACAGCCATGATCTTATAATGAAGACTCCACTTGGCTAATGTTAGTTTACAGATGGATTTCTGATACCTAAACTCTACTTAGTACAAAGAGGTGTAGGTAGCCAATATAAAATACTAATATCAATAATAGCTAACATCCAAAGAGAGAATATTATGTGCTAATATTCTGGAAGAAGAATCTGAGCTCATGGAGATTAAATACATGTAGAGCAGTGGTTCTCAACTTTCCTAATGCCACGACCCTTTATACAGTTCCTCATGTTATGGTGACCCCCCCAACCATAAAATTATTTTTGTTGCTACTTCATAATTATAATTTTGCTACTGTTATGAATCAGGCAACCCCTGTGAAAGGGTTATTCGATGCCCAAAGGGGTCGTGACCCACAGGATGAGAACTGCTGATGTAGAAGGTCACACGCCAGGCAGCCTAGTCCCAGATGTATTTATCACTTGCTCTGTTCACTTTCTCAAAATGGACAAAAAATGAATAGGCCTGGCCTAGTATCAGATACAAATGGGTGTGTATCCTGGTTCCAGCTCTAAGCTTATTATTGAGCCTTGATTTCTTAACTTGTGAAATGGATAGTCATAACTATGAGAAGTTTTGCAAGACTCAAGATCATGAGAATAACCCAATTTGCTCCTGAAATCAGGCATTGAAAACCCTCTGGAGGACAGTAGCCATGAATCAAAGTGGACTCCATGGCAACTGACTTTTTTATGTCGTTTCCACAAATCTCTGCGGAGCAGGTGTGGCGTGTCCAGGGGCTGCCAGTTATTAAGACGTCCAGCAAAGAAGGATAAAGCGGAGCGGGGGAGTGTAACTTGACCTCCAGAATTCTAAATGATCTAGATTTTCTTAGGAGCCTATGCAGCTACATTGCTCCTTTACTGACATCCTGGTTGCCTCTAATCTCTTCTGAGCTAATATTCACATTTTACTCATATGAAAAGGACTGTTTTTTTTTTAACTAATGACTTTAAACATGCCATGCTAAAGTGCTGTTATTTATAACCATGCTTATTGTATGGAATCAAATAATCTATTCATTTTAACAATTTTTTAGCAGTTCTTTAATACTGGAATTGTGTGGAGTCCCAGAGTGGTACAGACCGCTAATAGGCTTCGCTGTTAAGCCAAAGATTGGAAATTTGAGTCTACCTTGAGGTACCTTGGAGGAAAGGTCAACTGATCTTCTTCCAAAAAAGAGCCACTGAAAACCCTTTGGAGCATAAGTCCTCTCTGATACCCATGAACGGCTGTAAGTCAGAGCCAACTCAATGGCGACTCGTACCTGGCCTAATCTTTGGATTATAAATAGCCTCATGAAAGGCAGTGGAGAGAGATTCATTGAAAATTCCAACCAGGAAGATCTGAGAAATACAAATACCAAGTCCATGGTTGGGTGAAAACCTAGTTAGATAGGACACCAGAAAGGCCCCCTACTATTGAGGTAGATGACAAAGATAAACAAGACCCACATGAATGATGTCTCCATAGGGTGCTAGACCAGGCAAACAAGCTCATTGAGTGGGGTCACGGCCAAGGACAAGATCAAGCAAAAATTACAGAAGATTAATTATCCAACAAAGAACTCTGGTGGCGTGGTGGTGAAAGCACCCTGCTGCTAAGGAAAGGTCCAGAGGTTCAAGACCATAAGCCACTCCATGGAAGAACGGTGTGGCAATCTACTTCCATAAAGACAGCAACCTGGAGGGAGGAATGGGAGCTGACAGCATCGATGACTGTAGAACCCCACTCCGTGGGAACGAACAGCAGAACTGTATGTGAATGGATATATCGGATTGGGTACGATATGGCAACGAAAGAAAGAAAAACTACTATAGGGAAAAATAATAATAATGTCCTGGGGATAGGCTGGGGGAGGGAAGGGATAAAGGAGACCAAATTTTGAAACTGATGTGGTAGCCCTTGTACAATACTGTTTGATGTGATTGAACTACGGAATGTTAATATATCTGTAAGAGATCCCAATAAAATGATTTGAATTTTTTAAAAAAGATAGCAGGGCTGCAGGGAGGAGAGGAGCCAATCAGAGTGCAGTGTAGCAATGATGAAATATGCAATTTTCCTCTAGTTCTTAAATGCTTCCTCCACCCCACTACCATGATCCCAATTCTACCTTACATATCCGGCTGGACCGGAGGATGTACACTGGCACAGATAGGAACTGGAAATACAGTGAACTCAGGACAGATGAACCCCCCAGGACCAGTGGAGAGAGTGGCGATAGCGGGAGGGTGGAGGGAAGGTGAGGGAGAAAGGGAGAACCGATTACAAGGCCTACATATGGCCTCCTCCCTGGGGGACAGACAGCAGAGAAGTGGGTGAGGGAGACATTGGATGGGGTAAGACATGATAAAATAATAATAATTTATAAATGATCAAGGGTTCAGGGGAAGGGGGAAGCGGGGAGCGAGGGGGGAAAATGAGCTCAAGTGGAAAGCGGGTGTTGTGAGAATGATGAAGTCAACATATGTACTAATGTGCTGGACACAAATGATGTATGTACGGATTGTGATGAGTTGTATGAGCCCCTAATAAAATGATTATTAAAAAAAAAAGACAACAACCTTGAAAACCCTATGAGGTAGTGCTACTCCGTCCAATAGGGCCGCTATGAGTCAGAACTGACTCCATGCCAATGGCTATAATGGGTAATTATCCAATATAATGGCACAGTGGTTAAGCACTTGACTACTAGACAAATGGGTCTGTGGTCCAAACCCACCAGTAGCTTTGAGGGAGGAAAGATCTGGTACATGTAGGCAGAGTGGTGGATTACTGCGCGCCAAGCCCATCAGCCTTGCTTGTGGACAAGAAGGAGGAGGAACAGTTGCCTTCCTTCTGGGCTTCATCAAATGGCAAATCCCTTAAGTGGTATACGATGGACACTGAAAAGAAACATGCCCGATGCAAATAGAAACAGAAATATTTAACAGTGTAAAATCTTGCCTGCCCTTACATTTCTCTACCTGGTCTGTGTTTCAGGTTCCGGTTTAGTGGCCGCATCCTAGGTCTGGCTCTGATCCATCAGTACCTCCTAGACGCATTCTTCACGAGGCCCTTCTATAAGGCACTCCTGAGACTGTAAGTGTGTTGCAGATGAAGGTGTCACGCAGCCCTGCCTCTGGCACGGCTGGCCTAGTTTTCTGTTTTGCCCTCACCACACTCTTGGCAACTTACTGTTCCGAATGCTTAGCTGTCCCATCAATGTTGTATTATAATAAAAAGACACTGGGAAAGTTTATGTAAGGATAGTAGTGGGAAACTACCAATTCTAATGTTCTGTGCGTAACATGAATCCTTTCATATGGTAATTAAAATAACATTACAAAGATTGTACTAAGCTATGCCCTGGAATTGATCTATTTGTAACTTAGTTGTTTTAAAAATGCTACTTTAATCCAGGACAGATGAACCCCTCAGGACCAGTGGTGAGAGTGGCAATACCAGGAGGGTAGAGGGAAAGTGGGGTAGAAAGGGGGAAACCGATCACAAGGATCTACATATAACCTCCTCCCTGAGGCATGGACAACAGAAAAGTGGGTGATAGGAGACGTCGGACAGTATAAGATATGACAAAATAATAATAATTTATAAACTATCGAGGGTACATGAGGGAGGAGGAAAATGAGGAGCTGATACCAAGGACTCAAGTAGAAAGAAAATGTTTTGAGAATGATGATGGCAACATATGTATAAATGTGCTTGATACACGATGGCTGTATGCATGGATTGTGATAAGAGTTGTACAAGCCCCCAATAAAATGACTTAAAATAAATAAATAAAAATAAAAATGATACTTTACTCCAATTGCCAGGAAAAGAGTCCACAAGTCACTAATGATTTCAAGTTTATTGTAAATGTTTTGTATTTCTTTCCCAAAAGATAATTTAATCAATGTGTGACATCAGTATTATTCAAAAGAGTTAAGCTGATTTATGCTCTTTTAGCCAAGAGTGGAATAACCACATTTTGCAAACACCTCTGGGAGGTCATTTGTTCAGTAACTGTCTTCCTCTCTCCTTTAACATTCACCCAGGCCCTGTGATTTGAGTGACCTGGAATATTTGGATGAGGAATTCCACCAGAGCTTGCAATGGATGAAGGACAACAACATTACAGATATCCTCGACCTCACTTTCACTGTTAACGAAGAGGTTTTTGGGCAGGTTTGTGTAATGTGTGGCTTGCAAAGGGGACTTGCTCTTTAAAATAGAAAAGGACTCTCATTCAAAAACACAATTCTTTGACGACTACTGGCTTTAATGAAGTGGTCCATGTTTCTGTCCATCTTTTTTCTTATTGTAACATGGTTTTCTGGTATGTAGGTTTTTGGAAATTATCCAAAAATGTAATAATGGAGTAGAAAGTATCTTGTAAGCTGTGTGATACAAAGATAAGGTTTCTATATATCTGTACGCTACTACATTCTTTCCTTCACTAGCTTTCAAATATCTACTTTTCCACAATGCAGATCTCTCAATCCTATTTAGTATATTAAAGCCTCCCATTTTCATTCCACACACACTTATATAGCATTCAATCTTTTGATTAAACGGAGCCAGACAATCCTGTAAGAGATCTGAAACATTCTGAAAAACTAGCTATAGAGCATTGGTTAAATAAATCATTTCGCCACAATGGAATAGGTGCATAAAATAACTTTTAAAGATTGTGGAGACTCAGCTCATCTATTTCCATGTAAACTATAAAAATGAACAATGTGCTAGCAATACAACAACAACAACAAAGAATAAGACAGATTTCAATTGATAAGGAACAATTGACAAGATAGATATTTAACTGAAAAAATATGATGCAGCAAAGTGTATATAATGTGCTATTGTTTGGAAGAGGGGACAGATAATATACACATGTCCTTCCGGGCATGCGTAGATTCTCTCTGGAAAGAAGTTGAAGGGGAAGTCCCCAGAGAGGAGGGTAATGTGCCTGGGAGATGGGGGTGAGAGAGATTTCTAATCTTATGACCTTGTAGAACACTTGAAATTTGCCCTATGGATACATGTTACCCACTCAGAAAAAAAGTAAATACAAATAGCTAAATTCAGAAAATTAGTATGGACATACAAGCATAATGCTGTCTCCTACAGGAACCAAACTACTCAGAAAAAGCACTTCAAATGTCCCCAGTAACAAAATCAGGGAGGTGCATGTTATTATTTGCTCTTGAGTCAGTTCGGACTCGACAATTAGGTAAGAAAGAAATGGTGCTGCCTGGTCCGGAACCAGCTTCATGGTCCGTAGTGTGTTTGAGCTCATCGTCTTGGCTCTTGTGTCCCTCGTCCTGCCTGATGGGTTCCCTTCTACTAAGCATGATGTCCTTTCCTAGCTACTGACCTTTTCTCTTGATGTGTCCAAAGTAAGCATGTCTCTCCATTCTTGCTTCTAAGGATCATTCAACTTGTATTTCTCCAAAGAATGAGCTGTTTGTTCTCAGGCAATCCACACTATATTCAATATTCTTCATGAATACCGCAATTCAAGTTAATTATTCTGTCTTCTTTTCGTTTCATCTGGTCTTCACCGACTTATGAGCTAACTGAAAAAACCATGACTTGAGACAAGTGTGCCTTAGTCATCAAAATGACATTCTGACTCGTTAAAAACTTTAGAGTTCTTTGCATTAGATTTTTCCACCACATATATAGTTTGGTTTCCTGGCTGATTCTTCTAGGGACATTTATTGTTGATCCAAGTAGAATGAAATAACTGACAACTATTTTTTTCTCCACTTATGATGTTGGGGTTTGTTTTCGTCCAGTTATAAGATTTTTTATTTTCTTCATGTTCAGGCATAATTCATACTGAAAGTTATCATCTCCGACCTTATCAGTAAGTGCTTCAAATTGTTTTTATTTACATTTGGCAAGCAAAGTTTTAACATCTATATATAGCAGGTTGTTCATAAGTCTTCCTTCAATACTGATCCCACACTTTTCATATAGCCCAGCTTCATAGATTATTTGTTTAGCAAATGGGTTAAATAAGTAAGGAAAAATCATATAGTCTCGCCATACATCTTTTCTAAATGTAAATGATTCATTATTACTATCACATTGTTCTGTTCAAACAACTGCCTATTGATCCATGTACAAGTTCTAGAAGAACAAATTAAGTATTCTGGAATTCCCATTTTTATAATGCTAACCTTAACTCATTATGATATATACACTACATCTAGACAAATTTTATCTGTTTACAACTTAAACCATCTCTCTTCAAAAGGAGGTCATCAGAATGATGGTTGTGGTTCTAGAAAACTGAGCTGAGGTCCTTCTTTTGGTAAATTACCAGATGGTGGAAAATAGACACAATTGCAAGCCTAAGAAATTGAGGGTTTCCTTCCAACAACTCTTTGACAATTTTCTGTATGCTTTCTGTTGTTGTTATTTCTTCCTGTTTTATAAATTCTGATTATACGTAAGTCATTCCTCTGGATGGTGCCCCACATACTTCTTAGGCTGTCTTCTTCCCCTTTGCCTTTTTCCATGATTTTTTCTGACTGTTCAGTTAGCAGATTAGTATTGAGAGACTTGTCTTCAGTCTTACTAATTCTGTCTTACATTGATTTCGTTCTTTGCCTTTTCAGTGCATTATCTATTTCTGATATTTTAGTGTCAATATTCTGGATTTCAGTATACTGTTTTTCTATGGTTTTTAATTACTCATTAATTTTGTCAGTTTGTTCTTGAAGTGTTTTCCTCAATTCTTCAGACATTTTTCTGTGTTTCCCTTTATCTCTTGCCCTCTCAGTATTTCTCTCAAGCCATTGAAAGTATCTAAATATCATTCATTTGAACTCTATCAGGTTTTTTCATTTAAAAGGTCTCTGACTCTGTTACTTGAGCTACTCTATCTTGTTTCTTTGTGTAAAGTGAAATTATCTTTTGTCTCCAAGACATTGTAATGTTGTATTTATATTAAACTGGTGATTTAATGTTGGTGTAATCTTAAGCACTCGCCACTTGTCTACTGGTAGGTGTGATGGAGAAAAGGAGAATACGTACAATTGAGGGCGGATGTGATTGGTGTTAGTTACTGTCTATCATTGATCAGGTAGTACAAGAAAGGGTTCTTTCCCAGTGGGTGCAGGTATAACAGGTATGGGCATGGCTGGGTTACGTGTATATATGTTTGCCATCTTCCACTCATGGGACAAGGCGGGGGGGGGGAGGAAAAGGGAGAAGGAAAACACAGTGAAAAAAAGAAAGTAGTAAAGAAAAAAACAGACAAGTATCCGCAATTAGAAAAAAACCTCAACAAGAAAAAATAATTTAATGCTAAGGATAAAAAAGTAAAAGAAAATAAAAGCAAGGAAGGAGATGAAAAAGAACACAATAAACAAAACTAGGGTGAAGACAAGAAAAAATAGAATAGTAAAGGGAAAAGAAGGAAAAGGGGAAAACTGAGGGTTGTGGGGGTGAAGGGACAGAGGGTTGAAGGAGAAAACTGGACGCAGGGTGCCCAGTATGGGTTGGCACCCTCTGCCGGCCAAAGAGCTCAAGGGGGGAGGAGAAAGGTGAGGGGGGAAGAAAATCTATTCTCAACAGAGTTCTTGCTGTCCTAGAAGATGTCTGGTATCAGGCACCTGATCCAGAGAAAGTTCCTGCTGGCTCAGTGGGTGATTGAGGTCAGGGTACTCATGCTTAGAAGAAGGTCATTCTGGTCCAGAGGTCAGATTGGGGCAGGAGAGCTGGTTGTGGAAGGAATGGCTAACTGTCCAGAGGTGATGGGTGCAGGCTACTTTTCCAGCATTGCATGTTCTGTTGGTCTAAGGAGGAAGAATTCATTCACCCCTATATTCAGGGGCAGTGTGGACCCAACACTCAGCAGCATTCAGCCCATAAGGGCACACTTTCAACCTCAGGTGGAGCAGGAGAGACCTGCAGCGGGGTCACTGGCCACTGGATAGGTGAAGATGGGGGTTGACCTCATTGCTTCTCTCAGTAGAAGGGCATGAGCAACAAGGGGGAGGAACACACCTGTCTGGTCACTAGTCATCAGGGTGCTTGTGCTATCCTGGGTGAGTGGAGGTGATCAGGTCATTGTCCAAATCAAATGCTCCTACAGAAGTTCAAAATGACTGTGCTGTGTGCTGTGTCAAGCCAGCTACAGTTCACCAATTTCATCCAACTTGTCTCTTCTGTTTAGCTTCTTCTCCTAATTGGTATTCAGCCCGTGGTTCTATCCTTTCCTCGGAATCTCAAGATCCCAAGATTATCATTCATACCCCAGTTTTCACTGGGTCTCTGGTGTCTTTGTAGAGTGTTTACTTAGTCCCCAATCTTGCTGGAAATCCTGTAGGATTTTTCTGAGTACATTAGTAAGGACTAGGTTCAACTGCTAGTGAAGAAACCTAAAATAGTCCTGCTGAAAGTAACAGAAGATTATTTTTCTCTCATAGAGAAATCTGGAGGCAGACAGTTCAAAGCTTGTGTAGAAACTCTGTTTGATGGAATCCTAAGAGACTAGCTTCTCTGGGCTCTCCTCACTGCCATTCCCTAAGAGGGGCCTCATTCACTTGCAGTGGCACATCATGTCTGCATTGTGTCGGCATCCCAAGTGTCCAGACAGAGGAATGCACAGCCCCTCTCTCCAATGATACCTTAGGAAAGTGCCATGCAACATTGCACCACATTGGCCAAAATGTAGTTCTGAGCAATGCCTAACTGCAAGAGGTCCTGGGACTGAAGTCTTTAACTAGGCATTACTGTGAGCAGTGAAGAACCAGAACTTACCATATATACTAGTGTATAGGCTGTTTTTCAGCATATTTTTAATGCAGTTTTTGTGGTAAAACTAGGTACCTCGGCTGATATTTGGATCGGCTTATACTAGAGTATATATGGTACATAATATGAATAGTTGTTGTTGGGTACCATTGAGTTAGTTATGACGCATAGCAACCCTGTGTACAACAGAACAAAATACTCTTGTCTTGTACCATCCTCACAATATGACTAGTAGAAAACAACATTTGCCATCATATCAATTCTGACTCATGACAACCTCATGAGTAGGCGTGTGCCCCATCGAGTTTTCATGCCTTATTTTCCAGTAGCCGGGTGCCGAGTCTTTCTTCTGAGATGCTTCTGGACAGACTTAATGGCAACTGGTTAATGCTGAGCTAGTGCAAGGAGGATTTTCATACAGTCCATTCCCCAGGAATGAAGAGGTGTCCTGGGGAGGAAGATCAGTTGAGTTGACGAGCCAGCTCACTCTTTCTATTTTCCTCCAAGGTAACGGAAAGGGAGTTGAAGTCTGGAGGAGCCAACACCCAGGTCACAGAGAAGAACAAGAAGGAGTACATTGAGAGGATGGTGAAGTGGCGGGTGGAGCGCGGTGTGGTGCAGCAGACCGAGGCTCTGGTGAGAGGCTTCTATGAGGTGAGGCTCGTAGAGCAAGCTGTGGAAGGCACCCTTCATCACTGAGCTTCTGCCCCCAAGGCTCTCTGGAAGGACCTAGCCCACTTAGTGACAAGAAAGGATAGGAGGAGCCAGGCAGACAAAGGGCTCTCTCCTGCTCATGAAAGCGGACAGATAGACAGGGAGCCATAGGTCCTTGGGGAAACCCAGCTCTTACTATTGATGAAAAATACTCTCACAAAACTGCTGGAGGTATCATCTGTAACAATGGTGTTTTCTTTTATTCAATGAAATAAAAAGAGAGAGAGGCTATGAACCATACTGTTCTCTCTTACTAGTTTTTAATTTTGCTATAGTGTTGTTTTGTACCCTATCAGCCATTCTCAAGAAGACAGTGACAGAGGCTGGCCTTCCTGTGCATGGAAAACAATCTCCTGGAGAAGATAGATTGCAAATATTTTCTCAGGATTGGGAACTTGAAAGGATTTCTTTACCTGCCATCTTGGAAAATAGGGTTATTGGTCATTGACTTACACACCACTGGTTTATTTCCAGAATGGTACCCACTGCAGATATTCAATTTGGCCTAGTAGCTTTATTGACAAGATTTAAACCCAGACCTCCTACCGAACGGGTCCTCCAAATCTTTGAAGGAAGAAAGTTAGAAGAAGGGGTATAAGATAGACATTTCAAAAATCATTTTACTGGGGGCTCATACAACTCTTATTACAATCCATCCATCCATTGTGTCAAGCACATCCGTACATTTGTTGCCATCATCTTCTCAAAACATCTTGTTTCTACTTGAGCCCTTGGTATCAGCTCAATTTTTACCCTCCCTCCCTCATGAACGCTTGATAATTTATAATTTTTTTTCCATGTCTTACACTGACCAATGTTTCCCTTCACCCACTTTTCTATTGTCCATCCCCCTGGAAGGGGGTTATATATAGATTATTGTGATCAGCTCCCCCTTTCTCCCCTCACCTTCCCCTTGCCCTCCTGGTATCACTACTCTCAATATTGGTCCTGAGGGGTTTATATGTCATAGATGCCCAGTGTTTCCAGCTCTTACCTGTACCTGTTTACATGCTCTGGTCTAGCAGGATTTATAAGGCAGAACTGGGGTCATGATAGTGGAGTGAGGGAGGAAGCATTAAAGAAGTAGAGGAATTTTGTATGTTTCAACTGTGCTATACTGCACCCTGACTGGTTTGTCTCGTACCTGTGGCCCTTCTGTAAGGGGGTGTCCAATTGTCTAACAGATGGGCTTTGGGTCTCTACTCTGCACTCCCTTCATTCACAATGATACGATATTTTGTTCTGGGTCTTTGATGCCTGATACATGATGCTATCAACACCTCATGATCACACAGGCTGGTGTGCTTCTTCAGTTCCCAACCCCAAGAAATCTCTCCTTTATAAAAGGAGAGAACATATTTTGAGTGAAGTGACTTCATAGCTATTGAACTATTCAGTGATTTAATTTTGACCCTTTGCCTTTAGTGTGTAGGGTTGCTTGTCATCTAAAATGTGACGCCAGAATCTTGAATCAGGATTATTTATAACCTCACTTAGAGAGGGAGTATCAGAGGGAGTAAAATGCATGGGATTATTTACTATTTCTAGTTCCTCAATGGGCAGGCTCTAAAATGTACTCATCAACATGATTACACTTTGAACATAGTTGTTTGTGATGGTAAGTCTCCCAGCTTAACCCTTGGAAATAATCATAGTGAACGCCGATAAACTTGCTGGCTCAAAGACAGCCTAAGGGAATGCTTTTAAAAGGTAATCTGTTCGGACTTGTGGCCTGAAGCCTAATTTGTATTTCAGGTCGTAGACTCCAGGCTGGTCTCTGTGTTTGATGCCCGGGAACTGGAGCTGGTGATAGCTGGTACTGCGGAAATAGACCTCAATGACTGGAGGAACAACACCGAGTACCGGGGAGGTGAGCTGGCCAGGGCCTGAGGCTACCACCATCACAAAGGCAATTCCCCCCTCGCTAAAGACCACAGTAAACTGGGCCTTATTTCACTTTGTGTGCATAGTAGGTGCTTCTCTGCTTTCCTCCAAATCCGACAAGCACCTTTCGGTAGCTCTGCTGGTTGTCTCTAGTCCAACTCCTTGTAGACGCACTGAGAGAACACTCCCGTCTACTGACTCACTATCCCACATATCCCGATTCATCTCAATTGGAACCCCATGCACCTCAATCCTGGTCATGAGAAGTCATGAGAACCTTTAGTAGGACCTCTGATCCTTGCAGCATGGTTTGAAAATTGCTTACTTAAGGTATATGCCAGAAGGCCTCAGGCTGGCTGGTGAGTCCCTCTGAGACCCCCAGAAGTTTCCTTTATGATATTCACCCTATCCCCCTTCTAATGTAATAAGCTTGCTGTTCAAGCATGGATCTTGCCACTTCTTGTTATTTATTTTCCTTCCCCTAAATGTCTTTCTCCTCTTTCTCCACAAATCCTTCACCAACTAAACTCATAACACACTTCCTTTTTATATATATTTGCTATTTCTTATTCTCCCTTTCTTGAAAGCCCTTTGTGTCAATGGTAAATTTAGTAACATAAGTGGTTGATCCACAGTTGCTTTCCCTATGAGAAGACCCAAGATACTTTTCCCAACCTATTTCAGAGACACATACTCTACCTTCAGGAGAGCCAGCTGTCTTCTGGCCATTGGCATACCATTTATTCCCAAGCTCTCTTGGGTCTTAGACTTTCCTGTGTGGCTGCCAAACCAAAGACATCAGTGCACAGCAAGTAAGCACATATGATGAAATTCTGTATTACTGAAGAACTCCCAAACTCTGTATCATGACTGTCAATGACTCATGGAGTCCCAATTAGTTGAATGAAAACAAGACTCTGAGGACATCCCTAAGAACATACATTCATTTTATATTGGATTATGTTTTCAGTATGAATAACATTTCAACGTCTAAAAAAAGAGAAAAACTTCACAACTGGACCAACGAGACACATCATGATAAACAGAGAAAAGCTTGGAATGATCAAGGATATTATTTTGCTTGCTCAACCATCAATGTCCATGGAAGCAGGAGTCAAGAAATCAAGTGGCATATGGCATTGAGCAAATCTCCTGCAAATAACTTAATAAAAAAGCAAAGCTGTCTCTTTGATGATGAAGGTGTGCCTGAGATAAGCCAAGATCTTTTCCGTCACCTCATAAGCACGCAGGTGCTAGACAAGGACAAAGAAAAGCTGAAGAATGGAGACCTTGGAATTACAGTGTTGGTGAAGAATATCGAATGTACCAGGGATGGACCAAGGGACAAACAAATCTGTCTCAAATGAAATACAGCCAGAATGCTTCTTAAAAGTGAAGGTGGCAAGACGCTGTCTAGCTTCCTTGGACAGGTTATCAGAGGTATCGATCTCTGACGAAGGAAATCATAAATTACAGTGTCCGTGAAAAGGAGTAAGACCCTAAGAGAGGTAGACGGTCCTATTGGCTGCAACTACTGGCTCAAGCACACTGACTTACTGTGATGACGGCACAGGACAAAGCAGCATAGTGTTCTGTTAGTCTCATTACAGGTCAGCCCCTAACAATTCAAAATACAAAACAAAACCCTCAAATGCACTGCCGTGAGTGACTTCCTACTAGAATAACCCTACGGACAGGGTGGAACGGCCCCTCTGGCTGTCTGCAACTGTAACTCTTGATGGGACTGGAAAGCCAGCTCTCACTCCTGCAGAGCAGCTGGCGATTTCCAATTGGTGCCGTGTAGTTAGCAGCACAATGATATTCCAAATCTGATATTGTTTTACAATTTCACCACGTTGCATGGAATACATCACACTTATCTAAAGGCGATCCTTGTTATCCATGAATAATACAAATAGGTAACAGGCTCAGCTGCGGACCCAAAGGTTGGAGGGTTGGGACAGAGGCCTCAGAAGAAAGGACTAGTGGCCTACTTCCAACATAGTCAGCCCACACAAACCACGTGTATTACCAAGATCCGAACCCATTGTGCATGAGTTTGAGGTCACCGTGAGTGGGGGGATGTCACTAAAGCAACGGATAACAGAGACCAGTGTACACATCAGCAGATCAAAAGCAGCGCTTCGGTTCTTATTGTACCCGCTGTGTATTTCATCACTCGCGACCCCTCGTCCCTTCCTGTCTTCACCTTCACCGTTCTCCCTCCCTTCGCTCCACTTAGGTTACCATGATGGACATCTCGTGATCCGCTGGTTCTGGGCCGCAGTGGAGCGGTTCAATAATGAGCAGAGACTTCGATTGCTTCAGTTTGTCACGGGAACATCCAGCGTCCCCTATGAAGGCTTCGCGGCCCTGCGAGGCAGCAACGGGCTTCGGAGGTTCTGCATAGAGAAGTGGGGGAAAATCACATCCCTCCCCAGGTAGGGAGCCCCTGCCGACCTTCTGGGAACCCACGGAACAGGGCTAAGTATGCTTTTGCTATTTGGATTTGTGTGGTGTCCTTTGGGAAGAAATTCTTCCACATCGCTCAAAGTAATCTTATTAATGAAAGTTGTCATGGAAACCTCCTTTGGGAGTTGAAAGTGAACCACATTCGCCGTGACATTTTGATGATTGACATTTTATGTACTTTGGTTTATATGTCAGTTCTGGAAAGCTTCAAAATCTTATATACATAGAGTTCACCTTAAAGAAACCATCTCACCAAGGGTTAGGGAGGAAAGACATTAGTGCAAAGATGGTAGAAGCCCAAAGAAAGCTCTCCAGCACATGACCCCCAACAGCATATGACATGATACTAAGTACCAAGTGTCATTATTTTTACTCTATTTTAAAATGTGAGAGGATGAAATCAATGCCTCTGTGCCTGATGGTGAATTATATAGAGTAAGCAACCAAGAAATTCTTGTGGACAAAGAGGTCATGGGGCTTCAGGAAATCCAGCAGAAGTCTCCACACTGTTTTCATCCCAACACATTCTGGATCCTTCTATGCAATTTTGCTGATATGTGAAGTTGCTGTACATATTTGCCATTGAGTTGGTTGTTGGTTCTAATGGTGACTCCAAGCGTGCAGAAGAGAAACAACCTATGCTCCATAGCAGAGCAAAACTCTCCTGGCTATTAGATGCAAATCACCAAGACTAACTTCCAAGGTGCCTCTGAGTGAATTAGAAATGCCAACCTTTTGACTAATAGTAGAGCATCCAACCTTTTGCTCCACCCAGAGATGACAAGGCCTGAGGTATTAAGTACCAAAGTGATTCTTTCCTGTAGGTAATATACCAGTAAGTATGGCTTCAATAAGCAGAAGAAAAAATATATTTTTAATGTTTTTTTCTAATCATAAAATATTTGGGTTCAATTCAGTACAATTCAGGCCACCTAAGTATCTTTACTAAATCTGTATTGCAGGAGGGTCTACTGAACTATAACTTACACCCAGTTTTGCCGGCCTTCCCAGAATTCTACAATTATCCTAACATATGAACATGGAAGAACCCCAGTGGCCCAGGAAGCAGAATGCACATCTAGCCAGCCAATACCAGCTAGAACTCTCTGTGTTTCTGCCTGGCTTTACCACTTAATCCACAGCACCTCATTCATAGGCCAAAGCTTATGTACATAGGATCAGCCTACTGAAGTACGTCTGGAAAGAGCAGGAGAAAAAGGCAATTTTTTGTTTGTTTAGTTTAATGATGGGAGGCTCTCTACTCTGGTAAAGAGTTACAGTCTCGAAAAGGCACAGGGACAGTTCCACCCTGTTCTACAGTGTCATGATGAGTCGATATTGACTCAATGGCAGTGAGCTTGCTTTTGGGTTTGAGTTTAATGATAGCTTTGGAGAATGAGGTTGCTTGAAAGAATTATTTTATTTCAATACAGTTTAGGTTATTTGATGATTATCTTCCTCTATACATGTACATGGGGCTTTAGTGGTTCTGTGGTGGAATTCCCAGGCAGCAAAACAAAGCAATGCCATTGAATGGATTCTGACTCCTAGGAAGCCCTATAGGACAGAGTAGAACTGCCTTTTTGGGTTTCCAAATCTGTACAATCTACATAGGAGCAGAGGGTCTCATCTTTCTCTCAAGGAGAGACTGATGGGTTCCAACCACTGACCTTAGAGCAGTTAGCAACCCAGTGCCTAACCCTCTCCACACCTACAGCTCCATGTGTGAAACTTGGGTTGATTGCACAGTTAATACTGCTTTGTTCCATGAAGGCTAGCTTATTGCTGCCCTGAAGAACATGTTTCAGCAGAGTTTCCAGATCCAGATAAATCAGAAAGAAAATCCTGAAAATTTTCTTCCAAAAAAATCAGTCTATGAAAACCCTATGGGTCCCTGTGGTCCAATACCTCAGGACATCAAGCAGATGGTACAAGACTAGGCAAAGAGTTGTTCCATTGTGCTTGGGGTTATCCTGAATCAGCAGTTGATTCATTGGCAGCCAACCACAGCTTTAGCATATGTACCTTGAAAAGGGGCTGACATACAATACATACCTGCCTACAGGGCTTATAATGGAAGGGGCAACACAATCCTAAAATATAATCAACTACAAAACAAAGTGGAAACCAGACAAGCAGCATGCTATGAAACCAGACAAGAGCTAAATCTTGAAGAACTTGGCCAGAGGAGATATCAGACACTACCAAGAAGCTGGCATTTCAATGAGCAGTGGATGGTAGAGAGGAGGGTTTCCAGGCAGAAGGAGCAGCCCTAGAAATTACCTGAGGGTAAAAATGACCAGTGTGTGTTCAGGCTGTGGTTTGTAGGAGATGCCATCAATTTGCTTCTGACTCACAGTGGCACCGTGGACAACAGAATCCTGTGCCATCCTCACAATCATGACTGTGATTCAAACAAATGTGTTCAGAAAGCGGGAGAGGGGCAGTGAACAAACAACACCACAGACAGGGGAACAACTAGGGTATGAAAAGCAACAATGAGGAGAATGTAGAGATCTCAGTGGTGCTGGAGCAACAGCAATCTAGCTGCGAGGAATTGCTAAGAGGCAGAAGAAGAGCGAGAGTGATGATGGGACAGGAGCAGGGTAAAAGGAAATAGAGAAAAGATCTAAGAAACAAAGCTATGGGTAGAGGTATAAACATAGGTGTACACTTATGTAAATATATTCATTCATAAAAATAGAGGTATTGGCCTCTACACATATGGCAATACATTGAGGAAGTGGACTGACTTCGGGCCTCTGCTCAAGCCCTCCCTCTCAATGCAAGAACACTTTGTTCTAACAACCTGCCAATCTGTGATACTCACCCTCTGGACACGATCACTGAAGACAAAATGGGTGCATAAGCAAATGTGGTGAAGAAAGCTGATGGTGCCTGGCTTTCAAAAGAAAGAGCGTCTGGGGTCTTAAAGGCTTGAAGTTGAGCAAGCAGCCATCTAGCAGAGAAGCAACAAGCCCCCATGGAAGAAGCACACCACCTGTCGATGGAATCAGGTAACAGGCACCAGAAGACCAAAAACAAAAACAAAAACCATAATGTTGAGAATGAGTGGGGTCGGAGCAGAGACCAAAAACCCATCTGTAGAAAATAGGACATCCCCTCACAGAAAGGTCACAAGGAAGGGATAAGTCAGCCAGGGTGCAGTATAACAGCAATGAAAAATGCAATATTCCAATATTCCTCTGGTTCTTTGAGGCTTCCTCACCCCCCACTATCATGACCCCAGTCCTGCTTTTCAGTTCTGACTAGACTGGAGCATGGACACTGGTACAGATAAGAGCTCATGACACACAGAATCCAGGTCAGATAAACCCCTCAGGAACAGAAATGGGAGTAGGGATCATTGCAATGATCAACACATAACATCCTCCCCAACACACACACACACACACACACACACACACACACACACACACACGATGAACAACAGTAACATGGGTGAAGGGAGACAGTGGTCGATGTAAGATACGAAAACAATAATAATTAATAATTGATCAAGGGGTCACAAGGGTAGGAAGTGGGGAGGGGAAAAAAGAGGAGCTAATACCAAGGGCTCAAATACAAAGTCAATGTTTAGAAAATGATGATGGCAACATACATACAAATATGCTTGGTGCAATTAATGTGTGAAATATTATAAGAGCTGTAAAAACCCCCAAATAAAATGATTCAAAATTTTAAAAAAATAATAAAACTGAAAAAAGTCAAGGGAGAAAAAAAAGTATCCTAGGGATGCAGTTTAGAAGGCTCCTTTGCTGGTCCACAGAGAAAGGCCCTGCTAAGGAACCTCTGCTTTATTCTTTTAGATATGCAGATCATTGCTTTTGCCATTTGGGGTCACAATTGCCAAATTATATATTCGCTTTGGAGAGCTCTGAGCTATACAGGAATACTGTCCACTCTGCTGAAAGGCAGACAATGCGTTCTTCCCATCAGGGCCAGCACACAACTGAAAGTGCTACTGCTTCCACACCTAAAAGAAGTCTCCTTAGAAAAGTGGGGGCTTCGCCGTGGGTCCCCAGAGTGTAAGGCGCCAGTGGCAAGATGCCTGTGAGAGGACCTGAAAGGTGACCCTCGAGCCATCTTCCCTAACCAGCTTCCCTCGGTGGTTTCTAAATCAATGATCTGAAGAGGGACACCTGTGTAAGGAATGGAGCCCGACCACATGGTCAGTGGCAAGAAGTCGTTAGGCTGAGTTCAGCAGTGAGTGGGGGCAGAGAAGGCCCAGCTACTGGCAGGAGCCCCAGCAGAGAAGGTGGTTCAGGGCTTCCAAGAGCCTGTGAGTCATGAGTGTGCTACCCACACACGGAGGCATTCCTCAGACCTTCTCTCTAGAGAATGAAAATCAACTGGCCTCCCAGATAAGAGTGCCGGATGGAGACAAAGCCTGCGTCACCGCTTAAGCTAAAGACATCCTTGGCACCAATCCAAGTCCTGGCCTTCTACGAAATGTGTGAGGATGAAGAAAAAGAATCGTGGAGCAGATTGCCCCATCTTTCTCCCATGGAGAATCTGGTGGGCCTGAACCACTAACCTTGCACTTAGCAGCCGAACAGAGCCAGCACTCCTTTCATTGTTGGTAGTATCCCAAAGGAGTTTCCTTGACAAATAGAAGCCTCCCATTTCTAGTTATTCCACTTTCTCCAACTGGTCTATTACTATCCTTAGGGCTGTAACTGTTCACAGTGTTTTCTGGAGCTCCGGAACGGTAGCTCTGCCCCCTCTGATCCACAGCTTCAGATTAATCTACTGAAAGACCCAAACAGTACATCCTCAAAACTAACCCCCTAACCAATATGTTCTCTTCCTTTCAGGGCACACACCTGCTTCAACCGACTGGATCTCCCACCATATCCTTCATACTCAATGTTGTATGAGAAGCTGTTAACCGCAGTCGAAGAAACCAGCACCTTTGGACTTGAGTGAAGAATGTAAACCACTCTCTCCCAGTGACATCAACTCTTCTGCGATGATTCTCCTTTCCTTTAATCAATTTCGCTTTGATTTTGGTATCCTTGATTTTCATTTTCCAACCAAATCAGGATTGACAAGAGCTGTGCATGAAGAACTGCCTTCTTCCAAGATCTGGCCTCAAGGCTTCTCTCCTCTGTCTTCAACGAACTGCTAGCCTGTATGCAATATTAAAAACCCAAAAGCAGCTGTCTCAAGGTCTGTGTATATCTCCACATACCTCCATTACTAACAATGAAATATGAATGCAAGTAATGCTACACTTGACCAAATGGTAATAAATGTTTACTTCCATTTATATCATTTAAAGGAACATTTGAGCAGTAAGCATTCCAAGCTTTTCTATGCCCATGTCTTCTGAGCAGAACCTCCATTAAAAAAAAAAAAAATCATTCTAACCACCAACTCCAGAATTTAGGAGCTGTGCAACTCTTTGTTTTCTCTCTACTCTCGTCCCACATATACCATCCTGGCAAAGGACAGCAGTGGCAAACCTGAAATTTTCATACATTCAACTCACGACTCATATTTGGCACCAGTCCCATCAGCTGGAATGAGCCTAGACACAGGTGCAAATATGACACTTTCCAACAAATATCAACAGCAAGAAAGATGCCCCCTGCTGACACGATGTGGTGTGTCCCAGTGGTTGCCGGGAGTGTGGGCTCAAGTTGAATAGGAGGGGGAGTCACTCCAGTGGATACTCACCGCACAAGGCTTATAAACGTGTGCACATACCCCTGAAGGAAATCTCCTGATTAGCGCAGAGGAGCTCCATAGAAGGCAATGAAGCAAGCGGGCTAAAAGGAAGAAGGTACATTGGTTTACATGCCTGAGTTCTGCACTGTTTTGTTCTGTTTTCACCTAAGTACAGTTTTTCTAGATACAGTTTTCCTTTCTTTCACAAAAGAAAAATGTAAAAATACAGGTAATCTCGTGACTTTTGTTAAAGCCAGGTATTACTTAATTCACAGGTAAATTTTTTTTAACTTGAATCTTGCTTTTGATGTGCACATGTCATGGTGTTTAATTCCTTCACCTGCGATTGTCCACAGGGACCACACTAAATAAAAAGCTGCAGAGAATGACGGTGCTTGTTAGGGATCAAGGGCAAGGGCAATCTTCGACTTCTCCCTCACCCATCGCAATCTCGCTGAAGAAGAAACCTAACGCCCCAAAGGCACCTTGATTTGTGTCAAAATAAATATCCCATTTCTTTTAGCATTTAGTAAAAAGATATCTCAGAAAAGCCGAGTGTTTTCAGAAAAACAGTTATCGGCTCCAAAGACAGCCTAACCTCTTGGTTGTGTTTGAAATCAACCCAATCATAATGGTCACTTGCTATTTTTCTAACCTGGTTGTCCATGTTGTTTGAAATATGTCTTAAATGAAAGTGTTTGTCTTCACTGGGAAAAGAAGAGCTAAAGGACCCACGAGTTAAAGAGCACCTGGCTGTTTTCAAGAGACAGACTAAGGGTGGAATGTGAGAAATGTAAAGCAAGGTTAATTTCATATGGAGTCTTGCCTGGACCACCAACTGCCGTCAAAGTGATTCTGACTCATAGCGACCCTGTATAGGGTTTCCGAGGCTGCAAATCTAAACAGGAGCAAACAGCTTCATCTTTCCTGCTCAGAACAGCTAGTTAGTGTTGTGTTTGTTCATTTGTGTTCCCTGCACTCTCAAGAAAAATATTCTTTCAATAGGAATTATGCACAATACCCAACATCCCTTGCTACTGTACAACAATTTCTATGTTATAGAAATAAAGCCTTCTATTGAAATAAATATTAATTGAAATGAGATGGTATTTTTAAGTTTTATGGTATAGAATTTGAAGGAGCTATAAAATTCAATACACAGTTCAGCATTTGGAAAACAATGTATTCCATTTGAGCTTTTATTAATTAAATCAAAACACAGAAATTATGTAAATAATTTGCCCTACCTTTAATCAAACTTTTCAAAACCGTACAGGAGTCATCTTTCATTTTTAGAAATTGCTGTTATATGTATGGAAGATGTACGAGTATGTAAATGCTCATTAATTCAAGCATTCAACACTTTTTAGTGTCTATATTATTTGTTAGGCATTGGGAAGCAAGTTGTCTAAGAGATAGAACCTTCTATCAGTGAACTTCACCATTGACACAAGTATCTAATTAATGGTCCCTATCCTGGGTAAGCATTGGATTGTCAGCCTTAAGGTCAAAATTGACAATCATTGAAACTCTTTATAAAGTTGCTATGAGTCAGAATTTACTCAATGGCAGTGTGTGGGGGTAGGGGGTGAGGAGTTAATTCTACACATAAAGGTCCCTGGGTGGTGCAAATAGTTGGTGCTTTGACTAACTGAAAGGTGGGCAGCTCAAACTCAAACACACTCAGACATTGGAGAAGAAAGGTCTATTGATATGTTTCTATATGCAGGCTCATCACAAGCTTCTGTTTCCATTATTCTATAGACATAAAGTCTCCATGAGTCAAAACTAACCTGACAACAATTAGATTGGGGTTTTTAATTATTTTAGCTATACAGAGAAATAACAAGGTATCTAAGGAATATATATAATAGTTATATATATATACTCATGTATAAGCCAAGTTTTCAGCACATTTTTTATGCAGTTTTGTGGCAAAACTAGGTACCTTGGCTGATATTCTGGTCGGCTTATACTTGATTATGTAGGTATACATATATGCATACATGAGGGGTTACCCAAAACTAACTGGGAAAAGCTCCACTGGGTGGAGCTTTCATAGGACGCAATTTTCCTGCTAGGCAAACATCTAGAAACTCTTGAGTTAGTGCACCCAGTGGCATCTTCTAGGAAGGTTCTCTCTGATCACAGTGAATGTTTTCATAAAAGCAGTTTTGCTAGACCCTCATTTTTCGTGAGGGCTGATTTAAGAGAACAGTGTGTGGCTGTGACACATTTTGTTACCTGCTCCGGAAAAATGCCACAAAAACTATGGTAATGTTGAACACAGCTTACAAGGACAGCGCTATGGGAAAAACTCAAGTGTCTGAGTGGTTTTCTCATTTCAAAAAAGGTGAAATGTGGATTGATGACAAAACTCATTCTGGATGTCTGTCACCTTCCTAATTGGACAAAAATGTCAACAAAACTCATACACTTGTGCTCTAACACTGGCGACAGACCATTGAAGAGACGGGGAAGTTGTCTGGACTATCTTGGAGCTCAGTTCAGCAAATTTTAACAGAAGAGTTGGGAATGAGAGGGGTTCACTGCGAAATGCGTGCCTCTGGTTCTGACTGACTGGGAAAAAGAGCGTCAACTGGAAACATGCCATGCTTCGCAAGAACAGCTTCAAAGAGACCCAGACTTTTTTTCCAATGTCTACCTGTGATGAGACCTGGTGTTAACTCTTATGACCCTGAAAGCAAACGTCAATCAGGACAGTGGAAGGCCCATCGTCACCTTGTCCAAACAAAGCTCATCAAGTGAAATCAAAGATCAAGATGATGCTCCTTTGTTTTTGTTTTTTTATGTGAAAGGGATAATGCATTCGGAGTTCATTCCACCAAGTCAGGCTGTTAATCAAGCTTTTTGTTTAGAGGTTCTGAAAACATTGCGTAACAGTGTGCTATGAAAAAGGCCTGGTTTGTGGCATACGGGGGACTGGTTTTGCAACCATGACAATGCACCTGTTCACACAGCCATCTCAGAGCACCAGTTTTTGGCTAAAAAACAGCATGCCTCTCTTGCCCCACACACCTTACTCACCTGACCTCATTCCTTGTGACTTCTTTTTGTTTCCATGAATGAAGAGGGACATGGAAGGACAGCAATTTGATAATGTAGAAGAGGTGAAGAAAAAATGAGGGATGTGCTGCCAGCCAATCAAACAGATGAGTTTGAAAAATGTTTTCAAGAATGGAATCACAGATTTAGCAAATGTATTAAGCACAATACGTTGACGGTGTATAATAAATTATAAGTACTTTGAAGGTCATCAGGTTGTTTTGTAAAAACTTATTTACAAATCAAATTTCAAATTGCTTTGAAAAAAATTCCAGTTTGGGGGATTACTCCTCATATAATGGCTTCTTTCAACGAGCTTTTCCTTATTCTTTCTTTCAATAGTGTGACTCTAAATGTACCCACAAAGCATAACAGAAAGGAGTACAAAAGGGCTTCAAAAAGTTCCAGTAAAAATGAAATTAAAAGATAATGAAATTTTCCACAAACTTCTTTAAGCCACTGATATTCCATAAAGGGCAAAATTTCATACGGAGATATTAGTATCAAAGTCAGGTGAAGGATCACAAACCTTGCTTAGTGGTGCCCCAGTATTCCAACTTCATTACAGCCTTTCAAAGAATTCCTAAGAGGGGGTGGGGGAAAGTTATTTCTATATACCCAGGATGACCCCTGGTTGGACTGCTAACCCCAAGGTCTGCAGTTTGTACCCACTAGGCTTTCTCCCCACATAAAGATGTACAGTCTCAGCAGCCCACAGGAGCAGTTCTACTTTGTCCTACAGGGTCCCTGTGAGTTGGAATTGACTGGATGGGAGTGCGTTCGTATATACTGAAAATGATTTTCTCCAACTACATTAATATAGGATATTAATGTGATATACATACGAAATGAAGCAGCTATAGAACCACATTATGCCCTCAATTTCATGATATGGGAATGTAAAGCAACCCAAAGCATATAACTTAATAGGTACAGCAGAATTTGTTACCACCTATAATTTTGTTTCTTTTAATTTTAAGCACGGATTTTCTCCACAGAAGCAAATTACAAGTTTAATCACATACATAAGTCACAACGCATATAAAACAAGATCTTTTAGTTTTAGTAAGAATATTTTACCCTTCATTGGGTACAAGCAGGAACAATAAATATGCAAAGAATTATGAGTTACTATTTTAAGATACTTTTAAAATCATTAGGACTATTATAACCCTAATTTCATAGCTATGACAAACATCTTATCATTTAATTTTATGATCGTCATTAAAGTAGAAGTAGACTCTGTTAGGCGCGAAGTGCTCAAAAGCTACTGAATCCTTTGCCAGTGATTCTGACACTAAGTCAATGGTGGTGGTGGTGGTGATGAGGAAACGTGTACAAACATCACTAATGAAGCCCCCAAATGGTTTAGAAGATGGTGAGAGAAAAAATAAGAAGAGATCTATCTAATAATTTGGGCAGGCTTTAAATATGCAAGATAGAAATGATGTTAACACATGACCGTCCATCCTTTACCAATAAGTATGTTTGTGTGGCAAGTTCATGATCTGCATTTCCCAGGGGGTTGCTAACATTCCAACTGTTGCCTTGTCAGCCCAGATGTCAAACCGTATGTCCAATATTTGGGTTCAGAAGATTTCTCAATTGCCACAAATATTTTCCCAGTCAAGATGAAACACTTTCAAATGAAAGTAGTTAGAACTTTACTTAACAAACGTGGTGCTTTATTATGATTAGTATTATGTACTTCCATGTTCATTATTAAAATTACTGCAATACTATATCATAAAAATCTGGGATGGATGTTCCAGCCATCATGAGATAAAAAAGTGTTATTTTCCTGTTAGTGACATGTAATTCCTTTGTTCTAGTAGAAAACCAGGTGCCTAGAGGTAGTACATAAGAGTAATTATTGTGCCATTAGCCTACTTCCTGCAGCTTCCAATGTGTCTAAGGAAATGTCGATGATAATTTTGTTACTAGTCTTCACTCTAGTCAATCGCAGAAGAAGTCCACCTGCTTGGGCTGATTTTGCCAACATTGACAGGAGAAATGTCACGTGATACTCGGGCCATGCTTTCTCTGACATTACACCACCATCAAGGAATGTCAATAAACTCACTTTGGTATGGCATCGTGTGCGCTCTTTATTGCAACCAGAAGTCTAGGGCAATTTCGATCAACCTTGTAGTTCTGACATCAGACTCTTGCTGGAACAGAAGCCATAAAACCCCAAGGAAGGCTTCCAGCTCTGAGGATAAACAATCCTTGGAAAAATTGTTTTTCAAACCAGCATAGTGTGTACTCACAAATCCGTGAATAAAGGAATGGCTTTTGTAACAAGGTCCTTGTGTGTGCTTGGTAGAACTGCATGCCAACCACAGTAGTAAATATGAGTCCGCACCTGTTGAAATGTTCTACAATGGCTTTGGGCCATCACCTAAATTCCAGTGGGAGCCCAGTGGGAGCTTTAGTAGTAGGCAAAAATACCGTCTCCAATGGCATATATCATAACTCCCAGTAATGTAACACCCATTATTTCACGCAACCCTTCAACAGACATACCAGGTGGCTCCCACTGGGGGGTCAGAAATGGATTTATTCCTGGAGAAAAGTATTATTTCATTATTAGAAATAGTGTGAGAAGAGTTCAGAGAAGAAAGAACAGGAGGCAATAAAGTTTAGAAGACATCTTAATATTGCATTTTATACATATGCTGAGTTTACATTACATTTATTCTAGTGGAAAATCATTTGTCTCCCTACATTATCAAAGAAAATTAGCAAGGACCATAATTTAGAGAGAAGAGTAGGTTATATCTATTAGTTTTTTATTTAGTCATGAAATATTTCTGAAATAAAAATTAGATTTCATATCCCTTGGTTTTTATGACC